CTCAAATACTGCAATTGATTGACACATCATTACCAGAGCATTAACAGTATACCAATATGCATTATAGCTGATCATAACATGCCTAGTTAGATAATGGCACAATAAATATTTGGATTGTATACAGAACATATGAATTGATTATTCCAACACAGCTAAACGAAGTAAGGCTTTCAACGACAAATCGTTAATAGGATTGAAGCTGGGAGCAACCTAGAAAGTAATGACACTATATTCTGTTAATTTAAAACACAGAGGAAGAACATAGGAATTACAATAAATTACAAAATTACTTCCTACATCATGATAGCTGTTAAATATGCTATAAATTTACAACTATAGGCAAAACACTTTCAAGTCAAGCTAGAAAATAAAATAGTAACCTGATAAATGGTTTGAACTCAAGTCTTGATTGCTTTCTGTAATATATTATTGACTTGTCAAGTAGTTGGCTGTATTGCAAATAATGAAAAAATTATAACAATTGGAACAATTGTATCATACTACAGAATCAGACAATGGTTGTCAACTTGGTGAGTTAGCAGGGTGTGGAATTGGGTGGAATAATTATAACATACCTCACAGTACAATATATGACCCATAATACACTTACTATAGATGGCTGTAGGAACCCGGAGGGGGTGGGGGGATTGCATGGCACAGAGGCCCAATAAATTTTCCGATAAATAGAATACAATAGAAAACACAGCTACTATATGTTTGGTGCCTCCTCAAAAATAACACTTTTTTTTGCTTGTCAAGGAATTTTTGAATTTCTGTAGAGCCCCACCAAACTGAAAATGTTTGAATGTGCCCCTCCCCCCCCCCCCCCCCAAACGGAAATTACTTCCTATGGGCTGCTATGATACAAGTACCTGAATGATAAATGAACTATTAAACTACACAACAGGCCAAAGGGCCTTAACTTTCACTTGAGTATAATACAAATAATCCATAGAGGTATTAATAAAACAAGGAAAAAGCTGTCTATGTGACAGCAAACCGGGTTTTCTTATGGTAATGATATTACTGTAGGAGGTGACATCCCAACAAATCAATGTACCCTATGAACATATTTTGCATTAAAATGACTAAGTTCAACAACTTGTATTTTTTCATAAGATTATCAAAAATCAAAATCAAAGAACTATGCATATCTCTGATATATGTACAATTAATTTGTAAAAATATGAACTTCCTATCTTGAAAACTGTAGAAGGAATTGTCCAGTCAAATGATGAACCCTTTTGGCAACTAAATGCCCTACTGCTCGCCATTTTCATCATTTCAATAACCTGTAGCCTTTTTCATAAAAAATCTTAATTTTTTGTGTAAGATTTTAACTTAAGAATCTCTTACAACAAATCTTAAGTGCGTTTCAGGAACGCATTCGTAGCAGATTGAACTTAAGATTTTACTTACGACAGACTTCATCCCTAGCAGCGACTTCAATATGCTGTATAATCCTTAAATAAGTGGGTGAAAATAAAAATAAAACTTAGTTTTCAACATTTGTCAGCATAACAAATATTATTGACAACAAATATCAAATGCAATCGTTTGTGAGGCAAGGAAGTTTAAAATCTCACGTCACAATCACAAGTCTGACGTAAAAGTAGGTCATACGAAAATCTTAAGTGAAACTTACATCGTAAATATTTTGTAGTGTATTTCATTTAATTTTTCGATAATGATTGTGAAAAAAATTTAAAATATTATTGGAAGTTGCTTTAAAAAGTTCAATTTAACGTGTATTTTGGTTTTTGCAGTTATATTTTTGCAATAAAATCGCTTTTAAAATACTTAAGAGAGGCTTGGGGCTCTTGTAAAGTTACGACAGATTTTGCACTTACGACTTTCTTAAGAATTTTTGTGAAAACGATTTTTATCATAAGTTTTCACTTAAGATAAAAATATGTCGTAAGATTTTTTGTGAAAAGATCCACTGATTTTTCTTACAGAAAACCCAGTAAACATAATAAACTGATAGACTATGATATATACTGCCCACAAGCAAGAGAAATAGGATGATCCGGGATCAACAAAATAGTCAAGTACTCAGTAACAAATCATAAAGTACACCCAGTTACTTGCTTGTACTTGCCAGTGCTAATACACTCCCATTTGTCACTATCACTATGTAGACTAAACAAAACAATAGTGCTTGAGCACATCAACTCATCTTATATCCTCTCAGATTAGCCTCTCTTGGTCTTTGAAGAACACTTAATGTACAAAGATTATTATCTCATTTTATTTATCTATTAAATACCAGTTTACCCGACCATTTCAAACTTGAAAGTACTTTAAGTACTTTATATTAAGCAGGCTACCTATATTAGAGTACTAATTTCTCTACAAGATCAATGGAGCCCTGCCCAGCAACAGAACACTTGACCCAGTGATCCAGAATTTCACAAATCTGGTAAAATCACCCTTGCTCATTACAACTTTGTGCTCTGTTTGCCCCCTATATTTTCATAGAAATAATCATGATAATGCATCTTTCACTATATAATCAACAGACTCTCACCCTAACATCAGAACCGCTAAACCAGGGACCATGAATGTCATAGTTTGGAAGAGGCACCCTAGTTTATCTGCTTAATACCCAGAAGCAAAGATTTTCACTATATACTCTATAGCCCTGCCCTAGCACCTAAACCCCTGACCAAGGGGCCATGAATTTTGCAATTTAGGAAGAGGCACCCTTGCTTACCATAACCATGCATTTGTTTGCTAAATTAGCAGGGGCAGAGAAGAAGATTTCCAAAAAAAAAAAAAAATGCATATTCACTATATAATTAATAGAACCCAAACATAAAACAAGAACCCCTGACTCAGGGCCATTAATTCACACTTTTGGAGGAGGCAACCATGCACATCATAAACATGTGCTTAGTATGTTTGCCAAATACTCAGGGGCATAGAAGAGGGTTTTCAAAGGAATGATGCATTTTCACTTTATAATAAATAGATCCCCACCTTAACATCAGAACCCCTGACCCAGGGGCTGTGAAATTCACAATTTTTGAAGAGGCACCCTTGCTCACCATGTGCTTAGTATATCTGCCAAATACCCAGGGGAAGAGAAGGTTTTTTTAGCAACCACTACTTTTGTTTTTTTTTTTTTCCTAATTATCTTCTCTTGTTTAAAGGTCACATCCCTCTTTTTAATATAAACAAAAGCCCTTGAGCCAAGGATAACCTGTGGCAAATTTGACAAAAACTGGCCAAGGGGTTCTGGAGATTCGGCCAACATTTCAAAAACACCACAGACAATTGACAATGATCAGAAAACTTTGGCTCATGTGAGCTAAATATATGATTTATCTTAATTGAAAAAAAAAAATTGCACATGACCTTTTTTTTCGCCCAATAGTGAATTCATGGACATATATAAGCAGCAGCTACTCCATACACTACTCCATAACGATACTGGGATTACTATAGTGGGTAGTATAGGATTAAATTTGAAACACATCAATATCTTCCAGTTACCCTCTAAAATGTTTCATAGAAAGAGGATACTACTATGAACCTGTTTTCTTCCAAAGATCAAGTGACAGATAGATGCCAGTCAAAATAATACATTAATATCCTAGAATTGAGACAACAAGCAACACTTATCAATATTTTAATACTCGATCCAAAATAGACATGTAAAATTCATCACCCGCAGTACAACACAAAAGGTATACGAAGGCTTTTAATTAATTATTCATTGGATAAATGTAAAATTGGCTGGAAATCTGGAGCAGTGAAAGCAGCATTAAAATTTAATTTCACACTTTTAAAATGTTTTCATAGAGGATGGCTTAAGCTATTACTGTTTGATCTTTAGTCAATAACATATTCTATTTAGGGAAAATTGTCCAGTTCAAGTTATTAGAAAACACTTTTAAAAAACACTATGAGAAGTAATTATAAAATATTATTGAATCAATTTTTAGTTGGTGATAAAGATGTTTCATCTTACAACACAAAAATATGAACATTAATTAGTATCCACTGATTTTTTTTGTTTACATGTAATAAATTTTATACATTCAATTTGAATATAACCCTCTAAACCTCACAAATAAATTGTAATGAAAACATTAATAAACACTGAAAATCTATGATTTTATTTTTAAAAAATTATGTACCGTACTACCCATCTTGAAAAATGTGGGTCAGTGTACATGAAACAAATAAAATTTTAATGATGGCCTCAGATTTCCTTATCATATTCAGTCATTTTATGACATGACAAATATGCTTTCACGGAAATAAGTAGGAGTGTAAGGTCAGCATAAGGTTTCAAAAACAATGCATCAATTATAAATATTTCTCCTATTCCTTAGGAGGATTCAATCTTTTATTTGGTGGATGAAAAGGAAAGAAATTTGTCTCATGTGCAGCAATACTGGTTTACGAACACTTCCTTATAAAGTTAATTTTATAGAGGTTTGCATCTGTTTCTTGTAAGAAAAACAATAGAAGAGTGCAATTATGTTGAAAATATCAGGATTTTTGATGGAGTAAACTTATTAACTTTTTAGGTGTATGTGCACATGGTGCATGCAAGGAATTTTGAGTTATGTGCCATTATACACGGGACAGCCAGACACTTTTAATATTTTTTGCTGCAATAGATTTCAATCTAAAAAGCGTTGAGAAATGATAAACCTTAACTTTAAAAATAATAAGGGCAATCTGTATTTCCCTTAAAACAAAAAATTAAATTTAAAGTACTTTAAAAAAATGAACAGATAGGGAAAATTTAGATGCATCAGCCCGAGTACATCAAATGAATCATTTTTTAGTGTTGGCCTGAGTCACCACAGAAATTTAAAGATGCTTAAAAAACTGCATCCTCTGGTTCACTGTGCTCCAGATTAGACATGGAACATAGTCTGCATGGTTGGATATCCAGAATTCTAACTGGTTACCTGTTATCTGCTCCATTTTAAATGTGGAGGGTAACCTACAAGTTCCTGGATATACGGAATTCTGTTTACCTGTTAATATCCAGACCGACAGCACCTCCTAGTGGGAACCTCCAGGTTCTGACACCCACTAGCTGTCGTGGCATACGGATCATCCAGCATATTATCACAGTAAAACAGCTGGGCGTGGTCCAGCCGAGGACAGGTACTGACCAGCTCTGACAATCCAGCTGCTGTTATCTGCATACAGCCGGATAAATCCAGGTACTCCAGACGAGGCAATCCACCATCCTTGGCTAAAAAGCTGTAAAATACAATAAAATGGAGTTGTATAAAGGTCTTGTGATATAAAATTGAATGGTGTGGTTAGATTCAGTTGTTCCCATGTTTGGTGGTTTGATATTTAACAACTATATCAACAATATCAGGGTGTGCAGTTACCATCACCCAATGCTTAGGGCTACCAATTTTAAAGGTCGAGCAAGTAAAAATCATTGAATGCTTTGTTAGCATGAAAGTAAACACATTATTATGTTGCCAAATCAAGATCCTCGGTCCATTTTCATGTACATGCATTGTGCAATGCTAGCAACATAATGTTCAGTGACAGACGGCGGACATGTAGCTGGTTATAATGAACACTCAAAAAAGGTTACAGAAGGTGAAATGGGTGACCAGAAGCTGCAAAACAAATTAATGTATAATAAAATATGTAAAACTGACCTTTATTTTGCATATTTATCTTGATTACATTTTTAGGCTTTTTGTTACATGGAAATGAAATGTATCATGTGATCAGTATGGACTAGTAACTGATGACCTCAGACTAGTAACTTTGTTACTGCCTCTAGTCTCTGGCCTAGTAGCCAATTTTTGTAATTTAAAAAAATTGTTTGTGATATTGTCTCCCAGTTATGAGTAAGTTTGTTCTACACTGTCTTGTCAAAATTATTGTTGGAAGCAAAAGTGAAAGTACTGTACCCTGCTGGTGTAGTATACATTTCGTCGATTGTTAAGTACTGTTATTTCTCCTTTGGTATCCGTAATGAAGAATCAGTTTATTAATATAAAATCACAATCCAACAGAAAGTAACATAAATATAATTCATTTTCAAAGGGGTCCTAAAAATGAAAACAAGGTAACGTCCTCTGTCTGTTATAAATCCTATTGCGACTCTTTACTAGACTCTCTGCTTGTTAGAGTCGGAGACAGAAGAGTGTCTAGTAACGAGACTAGACCACAACTAACGATTTTGGAAAACCGATCCCAATTTATTCTCATAATATTTAAATTTTACTTTGTGTGGTAACTGTATATCATAGTTTCAAAGTACAGATTCATAAGCTCATAATCAAAACACTACCTCTAAAACTTCAAAACATGTAATTAACCATCCAGAGTATTTTTTGCAATTGAGGTCAGAGGTGAAGGGCAAGTCATCCATAATGCTAGTATTTTTCAAAATCTTTTATGACAAACTGTGCACATGTTAAATATCATAAACTTACTTCTAAAATGTCAAATATATGCTGTCTATTGGCACTAGAAACTATTTTGAAAAATAGGTCAAAAGTCAAGTTCAAAGGTCATGAGGTTAGTAACCATGATAATTTACAAAAGCCATAGTGGCAAGCAATATAATATATATATATATGTGCAAAATATCAAATCCATATTGATCAGGCTCTTTCAGTTCTCAAGATATAAATTATGACAGACAGACACACAAACAGATGCCAGTTAAAGTGATCTCTAACTGTTGCTCTGCTCTGCAGGCGACACAAAAAGTAACAAAACATTTATTGACTGTGTTCTTGAGCAGAATGTGTTTTATCGACCCATCTGTTAACAGTTTGGTTCTTGGGTCCTTCAAAATTCCTGCTATTAGTGAAAGGGGGGGGGGGGGGGAGCAATAATCTAAATTTAATTAATGCCAATAGTGTTCACAAGACATTTCATGCAATCTCAAGTGCATCAAATTCGTAATTCAAAATTAACTTGTTGTTAAGATGCACATGGTAAACATGGAAATGTTTGGGGGGCGGGGGTAATTTTTGCAAATTCTGTGATAAGTAAAGTTTTGCAAAATTAAGCACCAAGTGAAAAGGTTTATATAAGGTACCATACTAAACAACAAACCAACACATTCTGTACATTCTTTAACTTCTGCAAAATAACCCCCATGAATATGCTTTGTTCCATGGAAACTGCAAAATTTTACCCCATAAAAATTTCCAGGATTACAGTATACAGATAATCGGAAATAATGTATGTACAAATTTTTTAGCGATTAATACGTTTTCTTTGATTTTCACTCAGAAATAGCAAAAGTAGTTATATCTTACATCCCACATGTTGCATGTGACAAAATCTTGCTACTAAGCACAAGTTTGAATTTAATTTGAATATGCTTCACTTAGCGTTCAAACGGAGTTATAGCGAAGTAATAAGCACAAAAAGAAGCACATTAAATTAACTTAAACTAAACCAATTCTCTGTGTGAATGCAGTTGAAATTGAATATGCAGGTATTAAAAATGTATAAATTGAATGAACAGATCAAATGTATGAATATACCCCAACCAATAAAACCTCATCTGTAACTTAACAGAGACTCCATTGCAATGTTATGATTCAACTGCTGAATTTATTTTTTTATCTAAAAACATGTTTGTGTAAAGGAGTTACCTTACTGATTAATGAAACTTTGTGTAGATAATAACTGAATGTTTATGTAATAGTGCCATACACACTGTACTATAATTGGGCAACAACTTGGAAATAAACAAAATCAAAATTGCGAGGACATGTTTAGAATTTAAAGATTTAAACATTAAGTTTGCAGCTCTTCTTATACCTTATTCCTTCATCTGTCACCAAAGAGCAACCGGAGAGAGAGAGGAACTGCAGCGCCCTCTGGGGAGTGTCACTGTCACTATTATCACAGACATAACAAGCCCCACCATTACCCCCTGAGGAGGCGCTAGTCCTGTATGGGGAATTCCCACAAATCCTCTCTGGGGAGGAACTAGTCCTTTGTTGGGTATCCCCTACATTCCTCTCTACATTGGGGTTAATCCTGTGTGAGGAATTCTCAGACAAAATGTTTGTGTTGGTATGATATATGGGGAATAACTCCTGATTTTCTGTAAACGAGGAATTCCAATCATTCATTGCTCGATAACTTTTTTTCTTGGTGCCCAAGCCAGAACTGTTTTTTATGCAACTATTCAACTCAAATGTTCTTTGTTGATCCCTTAGTAAGGGTGGCAGAAATGACTGGTGTATGAAGGAAGAAAACATATTCTCTCCCTCCAGAAAATCAATCAAATGTCTAGCCATTGCCTCACGCTCTACAAAATCACAAGCATTACGCAATGCCGCATCCACCGAATCAAAATCAAGTCCCAAGTCCTCTTGTTGTCTACCATGAGCCTCTCTTTCACGACAGCATGTCCTTCCTCTGAAGTGACAGGTACTCAAATTTTCACTTCCTCTCTCTGTTCTGGGGTCTTCCTTACATCCCAGTGCTGTGGATATTTTCTGTAGGGTCACATCGGTAATGTTTACACAGCCGGATAAGTTTATGTGCTTCAGTTTTCTGCCACTTCTGTTTTTGCCCAAACTGGAAAAAAAATTTCTTAGTTAGAATCTACTCAAGATTTTATAAATACAAAATAAAAAAACATTATACTCTACCAACAAGTAAAAAATGTCAGCTTCTGTGTTTTTGAAATATATATAGGATCTCCCATGGTTTGTGACTGAATATTATTTTTATTCAACAAGTCGTGTGTTTTCATCCTCGAGCCTTCGTGAGGGGATAAAAACACACACATTGCATAAAAAATTCATATTCAACCACAAACAATGGGAGATTCTTTTAATTACGTTTTACACATTAATCACATTTTACACATCATTATTTCATGTTTTACGCTGTTTTATGTATGTAAATCCACCAAATTTCTTTTAATCAAATTCACTCAAAAAGCCATTGTCATTGCATATATATATATATATACATATATATATATATATATATATATATATATATATATATATATATATATATATATATATATATATATATACACTAATTTAAAACTATAGCTGATTCATCTTTAACGTTGTGAAGATGTTAGTAATAGGTTCTCAACACTCACCTGAGTCATCTAACCTTTCTGACGACAAATATTAGATAAATAACTCCCATACTGTAGCCATTAACTTTTTAAAGTTCAAACGATTTCAGCAATTTTAATTGCTTCGAGACTCTGAAGCTGAGCTTAGATGTTCATGAATAAAATATATATATTTCAATATAGAACTTTTAATCGAGCATCATATCTCAAAGAGTAAAAGTTAAAGTAAATTGCCTCTGTTCTTGGTACATATGGGGGCAAACTTCATTTTATTGTATATTTTACCAGAGTATTTTATATCACAATAACATTACAAGACAATATACATCAATTGCTTTGTTGAATAAGAATTTAATAGGATGTTTGTATACATGTACATATATAGTTAAAACATAGGTAATCAAAGATTACGAAGCTCACCTCGACAAATGTTATCTACATGTAAGGCAAATTTCACATATTTTTTTCTAGTTAGGGTACATCCCAAGATCAATATCCATGCAAGTTTGATTTAATTATAGACCTGCTCAAAAAACTTTTGACCTGTTTAGTAATCAAGAAAATTTTGGTCACTTCCAACATCCAAAGCAAGTCTAGAAGTTTTCATCCTTAGATGCACCATCTATGCAAGTTTAATCATAACAGGCCATAATATTATATAGCTACTCCAAAAAAATTACCCTGGTCACACATCTGGAAAATGTACGTCAGATTCAGAATCCAAGGCAAGTCTGGAAGTGTCCATCCCTAGATATATCATCCATGCTAATTTGGTTAAAATATGGCTAAAATTCACTCATGTGGAAAATCTAGGTCAGATCCAGCATTCGAAGCAGGTTGGTTAGTGTACATCCCTAGATGCATCATCCATGAAAGTTTGGTCTGGGTAGGGCTTATAGTTACTTGGGAACAAGACTACTCCTAAATCTAAACCTGGTCTCACATGTGGAAAATCTAGGTCAGATCCAGCATCCGAAGCAAGTGTGGTAGTGTCCATCCCTGGATGCATCATCCATGCAAGTTTGGTCCGGGTAGGGCTTATAGTTACTTGGGAATGGACCTGCTCCTCAAACTTTAACCTGGTCACTCATCTGGAAAATCTAGGTCAGATCCAGCATCTGAAGCAAGCTTGGTCGTGTCCATCCCTAGATGCATCATCCATGAAAGTTTGGTCCAGGTAGGGCTTATAGTTACTTGGGAATGGACCTGCTCCTCAAACTTAAACCTGGTCACTCATCCGGAAAATCTAGGTCAGATCCAGCATCCGAAGCAAGTGTGGTAGTGTCCATCCTTAGATGCATCATCCATGCAAGTTTGGTCAAGATAGGGCTTATAGTTTCTTGGGAATGGACCTGCTCCTAAAACTTTAACCTGGCCACTCATCTGGAAAATCTAGGTCAGATCCAGCATCCGAAGTAAGTGTGGTAGTGTCCATCCCTAGATGCATCATCCATGCAAGTTTGGTCAAGGTAGGGCTTACAGTTACTTGGGAATGGACCTGCTCCTAAAACTTTAACCTGGTCACTCATCCGGAAAATCTAGGTCAGATCCAGCATCCGAAGCAAGTGTGGTAGTGTCCATCCCTAGATGCATCATCCATGCAAGTTTGATCCAGTTAGGGCTTATAGTTACTTAGGAATGGACCTGCTCCTAAAACTTTAACCTGGTCACTCATCTGGAAAATCTAGGTCAGAACCAGCATCCGAAGCAATTTTTGTACTGTCCATCCCTAGATGCATCATCCCTGCAAGTTTGGTCCAGGTAGGGCTTATAGTTACTTGGGAATGAGACTTGCGCCTAAAACTTTAACCTGGGACGCCGACGCTAACGCCGACACCGACGCCGACGGTATAGCATAAGCTCATCTCGACTTCATCGAGGTGAGCTAAAAAGAGATTATGGATGCTTTACTTATTGGGACAGTTTCAATCAGGACACTGCAATCCAATGTGAAACTCTGACCCCCTATTGGGGTTCCACTCTAGCCATGATTTTGACAAACTCAAATCTTCACTTAACAAGGAAGCTTTTGCGAAGTTTTGTCTTTTTACTTCAGTGGTTCTTCATCAGAATTTTTTTTCAAATAAACACAAACTGATTTTCTATTTCATCTTCAAAAATTGGTACTGTCCTTCATTTGAACCTGAATCCCCACTACTTAAAACTGCTTTGTAGCAATTTTTGTTAAAATTCGTTCAGTGCTACTTGAAAGAAAGTTAAAAACATACAAGAGGCCCAAGGGCCTTAATGGTCACCTGAGTATAATACAACAATTTAGAGGATCCATTGATATAAAATAAACTGATAGATGAAGCTTTGTTGCCCAAAAGCAAGAGAAATAGGATGATCAGGATCAACGACATAGTTAGTCTAGTATTCAGTAACAACTCATACATTAAATTCTAATCTATCCCCCATTTAGCACTATCGCAATGCAGACAATTAACAAACTAGCATTAGTTCTTCCGTACTAGTTTTAACCCCATATTTTGACCTCTCACATTGGACTCTCTTGGTTTTTGAAGAACATTTAATAAGTTAAATTTGTCTCGTTTTGATTTGTTTATTATTTACAAGGCTACCTGATCATTAAAACTATGAAAGTACTTTTAGTATTATACAATAACATATTTTGCATAATTCTCTTAGTCTATTGACTTTCAAATACATGTACATTATTTACAGTGATTAATTATCAAAAGTGAATGGCAAAGGGAAATAACTTTTCTCAATAGAATACAAATTAATAGAGCACTGGCCAGGACCAGAACACTTGACCAAATGGGGCTGATGTTCAAAAATCTGGTAAAAATATCTTTGCTTCTTAAAACATTTATTCTGTTTGCCTTCGATTTGCCAAGGAGCAGAGAAGATTTTCAAAGAAATAATGCATTATCACTGCAGAATCAACACAGCCCTATCCTAACACTAAAACCCATGAAATTTACAGATTTGGTAGAGGTACCTTCATCATTATAACTATGCACTTAGTTGAAGATTTTCAAAGAATTAACATATTTTCACTATATTATCAATATACCCCCACCCCCTCCCGTGAAAAACCAAAACCTTGGACCACAAGTTTTTCAAAAAAAAATTAAGAAGCACAATTGTTCATCATAACTATGCACTTTGTTTATCTGCTCAACAAAAGGTGACAGACAGGATTATTTAACAGAAATAATGCATTTTCAATATTTTATCAAAGAAATTATGCTTTTTCACTATAATATCAATATACCCCCCTCCCCCAACCCTGGGGCCATGAATTTCACAATTTTTGAAAAGGCATCATTCTTATCATAATCATGCACTTAGTTTGTTTAAATAATACCCAGGAGCAGAGAAGAAGATTTTCAAAGAATTAATACATTTTCACTATATAATCAATAGAGCCCCATCCTAACACCAGAACCCCTGACCTAGGGGCCATGAAATTCACAATTTAGGAAAAGGCATCATTGCTCATCATAACCATACACTTAGTTTGTTTAAATAATACCCTGGAGAAGAGAAGAAGACTTTCAAAGAAATAATGCATTTTCACTATATGATCTATATAGCCCCGTCCTAGCACCAGAACCCCTGACCCTGGGGCCATGAATTTCATAATTTTGGTAGAGGGCCCAATGCTTATTACAATCATGTCAACAGTTTGACTGGTTGGTGTCCAGGAGTAAAGAAGATTTTTAAAGACTGCATCAATTTTGGTGGTTTCAGCCCCACCCCTTGGGCCCCAGGGGGGCAGGGACCATGAAATTCAAAATTTTTGTTCCCCTTCACCCATAAATGCTATATGCCAAAATTGGTTGAAATTGGTTAAGCGGTTTTGGAGATGAAGTTGAAAATGTTCAAAAGTTAATGCACGAAGGACGACGCACGACGCCAGATGAAAACAGATAGCAATAGGTCACCTGAGTGACTCAGGTGACCTAAAAAAGTTAATGAAAAAAAGACACTAAACAGATGACAGAAAAACTTTAATAGGAAAAACTCGCCAATGATTTCAGCTCAGTTGAGGAAATAAAAGTGATTCATCTCAGCCCCTACTGACACTTTCTCACCTGTGTACCTACCTCTTAAATCCGATGTCTAATACCCTCGTCCCACCTGTGTGCCTACCTCTTAAATCCGATGTCTGATACTGTCGTCTGTGTACCTACCTCTTAAATCCGATGTCTGATACCCTTGTCTGTGTGCCTACCTCTTAAATCTGATGTCTGATACCCTCGTCTGTGTGCCTACCTCTTAAATCCGATGTCTGATACCCTCGTCTGTGTGAGGTCTAGCACTTCAATATTGGCACAACAGCTCAACATTCTGTATAGCTATTAAGAACAAAATGTCATAATCAATAAAATCTTATAGCTCCTGAATAAACATGGAGTATCTGATATCAAATAAATAAGGTCAAAGGGACATAACTCCATAACATCAATTGCTTGACAAAAACAATGTTTTTGATTTTGAAAATCTACAAGTATACAATTCATTTACTGTCCCTGGACAAAAGTATGTCAGTGAAAGCAACAAGAGGCCCAGGGGCCACATCGCTCACCTGAGCACTATGGCTAGGAAAAAGCAGAAATCACTTCAATCTTGAAAGGTTGAAAAGTTTAAATATAAAAGTGGTTGGGGGGGGGGGGGGGGGGGGGTGTCAGGAATTGAACAAATTTGAATCTACATTATCTGAGGATGCTTCCATTTAAATATGACCAATCATGGCTTTGCTGTTCTTGAGTAGAAGATTTTTAAAGATTTAACCTATGTATTCCTATGTAAAACTTTGATCACCCATTGTGGCCCCACCCGACCCACAGGGGTCATGTTTGAACAAACTTGAATGTACACTATCTAAGAATGCTTCCATATAAATATGACCAATCATGGCTTTGCTATTCTTAACAAATAGTTTTATTTAAAGATTTTTCCTATGTGTTCCAATGTAAAACTTTGATGGCCCATTGTGGCCCCACCCGACTCCCGGGGGTCATGATTCGAGCACATTTGTATGTACACTATCTGAGGATGCTACCATATAAATATGACCAATCATGGCTTTGCTATTCTTAATAAATTGTTTTTTTTTTTTTAGAATTTTTACTATGTGTTCCTATGTAAAACTTTGATCGCCCATTGTGGCCCCACCCGACCCCCGGGGGTCATGATTTGAACAAATTTGAATGTACACTATCTGAGGATGCTACCATATAAATATGACCAATCATGGCTTTGCTGTTCTTGAGAAGAAGATTTTTACTATGTGTTCCTATGTAAAACTTTGATCGCCCATTGTGGCCCCACCCGACCCCCGGGGGTCATGAGTTGAATAAATTTGAATGTACACTACCTGAGGATGCTTCCATGTAAATATGAGCAATCATGGCTTTGCTGTTCTTGAGAAGAAGATTTTTAAAGATTTTTCCTATATATTCCTATGTAAAACTTTGATCGCCCATTGTGGTCCCACCCGACCCCCGGGGGTCATGATTTGAACAAACTTGAATCTACACTACCTGAGGATGCTACCATATAAATATGACCAATGATGGCTTTGTTGTTCTTGAGAAGAAGATTTTTAAAGATTTTTCCTATATATTCCTATGTAAAACTTTGATTGCCCATTGTGGCCCCACCCTACCACCGGGGGTCATGATTTGAACAAACTTGAATCTACACTACCTGAGGATGCTTCCAAGTAAATATGACCAATCATGGCTTTGCTGTTCTTGAGAAGAAGATTTTTGAAGATTTTTCCTATATATTCCTATGTAAAACTTTGATCACCCATTGTGGCCCCACCCGACCCCCGGGGGTCATGATTTGAACAAACTTGAATGTACACTATCTGAGGATGCTACCATATAAATATGACCAAGTATGGCTTTGCTGTTCTTGAGAAGAAGATTTTTAAAGATTTTTCCTGTATATTTCCTATGTAAAACTTTGATCGCCCATTGTGGCCCCACCCTACCCCCGGGGGTCATGATTTGAACAAACTTGAATCTACACTACCTGAGGATGCTTCCACATAAGTTTCATGTTTTCAAGCACAGTGGTTCTTGAGAAGAAGATTTTTTAATGATGCCATTAATTTTTCACGAATTCTTAATTATCTCCCCTTGGAAGAGGGCGTGGCCCTTCATTTGAACAAACTTGAATCCCCTTTACCCAAGGATACTTTGTGGCAAGTTTGATTGAAATTGGCCCAGTGGTTCTTGAGAAGAAGTCGAAAATGTGAAAAGTTTACAGACGGACAGACAGACGGACAGACGGACTACAGACAAAATGTGATCAGAAAAGCTCACTTGAGCCTTCGGCTCAGGTGAGCTAAAAATACACCAATGGCCGTAAAACTTGACATGTAGAAAACAATTTGTGGCCTGTTATTGCTGGATATTTTTATGAATGAAATTACATTTTTCAGAATGACAGGATTTCCCCATACATTGATCCCTCTTACTTGGTGTCTTTATGGAAGAAAATATTACATATATGTATTATAATTACATATGTGGTCAGTACAGTAAACAGATATAAATATGATAGAAAACATTTAGTTACGATTAAAAAAAACATCTACAGTCTGTCAAAAATACCATCTCAACTTGACTGTGAACATTTTTTGGAAAAACGTAAATATAAATTATATTCGGAAACTTTATTTAACATTTCCCCAAAGGCTACGAGAATTAATAATAATGAAGGGTCATCTCACAAAAAAATTCCGGGGGACATTTTCTGCTGAGTAGCTAATGTAAACAAACCGCTGCCATTTTGATGTCAGTGATGAATACTTATATCCAATGACTGTACTTGCTAATATGCCTTAATTGAAACCTGGTTTATAGCAAGAATAAACATGTAAATTAAGCTTCTGTAAGACTTACCACCCCGTTAGTTAGGCCCCTTTAGCTATACCTGTAATTTAAAGCTTTTGTACGACCTAGTTAGGCCCTCATATTATCTATGTGTATAGCTATACATGTAGATGTAGCTTCTGTGTGACCATTCAGTTAGTTAGGCCTTGTCTTACTATATCTAATCTGTGCGACCATTTCATTAGTTTGGCCCCGTCTAGCTATACATGTAGTTTATAGTTTCTCTACGTCTTACCACCCTGTCAGGCCCTTTCTAGCTTCACATGTAGTTGTAGTTCTCTGGGATCACTTTATTAGTTTGGCCCCCTCTAGCTATAAATGTAGTTTATAGTTTCTCTACGTCTTACCACCCTGTCAGGTCCTTTCTAGCTTCACATGTAGCTGTAGTTCTCTGGGATCACTTTATTAGTTTGGCCCTGTCTAGCTATACATATAATTATAGTTTCTCTGACACTTACCACTATGTTTCTTAGGCTCCTCTATCAAAACATGTAGTTTCTGTAAGACATACTTAGGTCCTCATAAAATCTATATGTACATCTACACATGGAGTAGTATTTTCTGTGAGACCACTAAGACCTATTTATATATATATGCCTAGCTATATATGTAGAGACATAAACCTTGTATATATGTAGAGAAGTAAACCTCTGAGACTTAACTCTGTTAGTTAGGCCCTGTCTAGTTATACAGGTAGGTGTAAACCTATTTAGATATAAATGTAAACCTCTAAGACTTACTACTTCATTATTAAGGCTCTGTCTAACTTTACATGTAAACCTCTTATACTTACCACTCCATTAGTTAATCCCCGGCTGTAGCCCAGGTGTAACTCGACCACACTTGCTCCCACCCTGGGGAAAAGGTGCTTCACCATAGAAGTCAACATCCTGGACTCTTTCTCAACCTGATTCAAATTCTTTCATTATTATCTCATTTACATACACTTTACTACAGTACCAAACAATTTAACAGAACACTCTGAATAATCAAAAAGCAAACAGCCACATAAAAATAGATCTAAATGCTAAATGTAGTGAACTAGATACAAAAGTGTAGAAAAGACAAGTCACATTAACTTTCACAAAGCAAAGAGACTTCTGCTTAATTAACTGATCTATATTTTATCACACAAATTCTCTTGCTGATATGTAAACCCTGTGGCTTTAACAAACTGAAAATGACAGCTAATTGTTATTTTTATTTACCAGTATCCACTCTGGAGACATGTCATCAAGATCATCACTTTCCTCTGACTCATCTATATCAGCATCTTCATCATACTTCACATCGACTGGATAAAACTCTGCTCTCTCTAGATCCCTCTCTTCGAGCTCAATGTCCATCTTCTCCTGACGAGACCAGAGTCCTATAACAACACACTTAAATTAATTCTCACTATGTCAACTAGTGCTACTGTGAGCAAGCTCACAAAATAATATCCCCCGCTTTAATATCTTTATAATGCCCATATACAATTTCTAAATGTGACCATGAACTTGCCAAAATGACCTTGGTTAAAAAAAAATAATACACTCCACCTGGTCATGAGTAATCTTCGAGTGAAATATGGCATCCAATGTTTCTCCAGTAGAAAGTTATGGACCTGACATGAGTTGGGACACTTTTTTCTGCCAGTAACCTTGAACTTGCCAAAATGACCTTGGGACATGGTTATGACATACCCTCAGGAATAAATAATATTTGTATGAAGTATCAACTGCCTTAGAAAGTTATAAACCATACACAAATTTAACACTTTTACTGTCAGTGACCTTTAACTTGCTAAAATGATCTTGGTTTATGATGATGATACACCCTTGGTTTAAGTCATGAACAAGAATCAACTTCCAATTAGCCTCCATCAGAGAGTTAGGGACCACACACAAAAATACTCTTTTTCTGTCAATGACCTTGAACTTGTGAGAATGGCCTTGGGTTAAGGTCAATACATATCCTCATTCCATAAGAAATATCTGTGATAAGTTTTAGCTGCTAATGTTTTCCAGTACAAGATATGGTCAGGGCAGAAATTAAACAATTTTCTAATAGTGACCTTGAACTTTATCACATGACCTTGGGCCAAGACCTTTTTGAAGCTTTAGGTCAAATCTTTGTATGTGGTATGAAGTTCCAAGTTTCCTCATTAGGAAGTTCTTCAGTGGAAAAAGATGAGATACTTTAATTACTTTTTACCAGTGACCTTCAACTTGCTGGAATGAAGTCAAAACACACTCTCATGAACAATCCAATCTTTGTACCAAGTATGAGCTCCCAATGTTTTTCCAGAGTTACATAGCCTGGAAACAATTGCACAGACAGACAGCTAAGCAGAGGATGGATTGACAAGGTGTTTTTTATTTACCCCCCCCCCCTTTCCAAACTTTGTTTGTGGAGGATAAAATTATCAAAATTTACCTTAGTAATCCAATATTGAAATTACTGCATGCAGCACTCTTTAAAATAAATAACTAAGGATTATAAGGATGCTTTAAGGGAAACAAGTCCAGCCTCACATTCAGAGCAGAAAATCAAAAAAAGGTACTAATATTTAGAAATAAAACCATTCTACTTAATGTAAATTTAGTATTGTGCAACACTTACATGGAAGTCTTCGAGCTATCATCAAAATAACCTTCATATTTGTTTAAACAGAGGCTAAAGTTAGATATATATTTATGTATATTCTTGATTTTAATTTGATTACCATTTCCTCTTATTTTCTTACCCTTGAACCACTGAACAGGTCTAAGGACTCTCCAGTTAGATCCATCCATGGCCAGACTGTTCCATCTTTTTGACACCTGGGCAGAGGTACATAACTCCTTAGGATTCAGGTAGGAGAAGATGTTCATCATGACTTCATCAGGTAAACATTCAACACCTTGGGGCTCACGGCGGGATTCTGATATACATTTTTCATCTTCATCAGAAGATGAGGCTGGAATTAAAGCATTGATCATGTAAGAAAACATTACTGTAAAGGAAGGTAGTCAAACTTTAAGAGTTTATGTTTTCAAAATTACATTAAATATAGAGCATTTTTAAAATTTTTCTTGCAAGGTTAGACAACTTTTCAGATTTTTCTTAAATTGTTAGTATTCTATTTGAAAGAATTTTTTTCTCTATCATTATTATACACTGTATATATATCCACAATTTCAGACCAACAATAAACAATGTTTAGTTTGAACTGACCCAGCAACTGCCCCTACCCAATCATTTTGTTCAGCACTTCAATTTTTATGATAGATATTTTGTGTACCTCACTTATGCCGAAGAAACCATTACTGATTTTTATGACATTAGATCTTTATTATTTTTATTAAGAAATGTGTGTCTCTGCACAATTGATTTTTTTTTTCATTTTCCGGAAATACAAATCAACCCTATTTTGTTAATAATTAAAATAAAATTACCTACCCACCTTGAAAAATATGGGTCAGAGTACATCAAACAATTTTTTTTATTTTTATTCATTAATAATGGTCCTACTCATTTTTTTCATATATAAAACAAAGACCATTTTGGTTCTATTTGAAATCACTCATTTCTGTAATATTTTTTGCTCCAATTTTGGTGAAATTTGTTCTTACAAACACATTCTTCATTCTCAACAAATTCTTCCTCAATGGTTTGTTGATGTTTTCTGATCACTTTAGATTTCAGGGACCTTAACTCTTCAAAGGAAAAATACTTCATCAGCATGGGCTGAAAAATCTGGAAAAAGAAACATTGATTTAGTAATCTAACATATCCACGATGATAACTCAACAGCTCTATCATTCATGTTTATCTAGATGAAATATACAAGAAATAATGTAAAAATAAAAGATGTTTGAAATTTTTTTTTAACATGGTAAATCTGAACAGAATTTTTAGGCAAAGATTTAACACTTCAGATTAGTTATGATGATTTTACTCTGGTGTGCAAGAATAAATATACATAACCTACAATAATTTAGTCATTATCTTAATCTTAAATAACCTCTATTTAATTCAAAATTTGACTAAAAGGAAAAATTGACTGTATGATTTTTTTTATAAAGTGTCAGTACCTCCTCTTCTTCTTCCATGTGAGGGATGAATTTCTGAGTAAAATCCTCCAGTGCTGACCGCAGCTTAATCCCGTAGTTCTGCCTGTCCACCTCCCCCTTCTCTCGACAGTGGTAGCCGTCCTGGAGGAGCATTAACATCTCCGTCAATTTGTTGTCTGAGTGACAGTTACACACAGCTGAGCTCCGAATCGAAAGCGCATTTAGTTTTGCTTTTAGTTTTTTCATTATGTATTTATTCTCAATTTGTTCATGGGCTCTGAACTCATGAAACGCATTGACGAGATTTTCCAGAAGGTTTGTCATGTGGTGGACATCTGCGAAATTTGTATCTGTCATCTGTAAATGTACAAAATAATTTTTTAAATGAAAACATCATATTCAAAATAAATGTAAGCTACACATGCATCTCCTTTCTCTATTGAGTATTTCAATTACAGCTTAACACCTCTGATACTCCTCTCTTACCTTCTTTTTATTAAAGAATAAAATATAAAAACAGCAGTCTATGCAAAGGTCAAACAACTTTTAGAACCTAAGTTCTGGTTAAATTATACATTTCAAACTACTAAATACTGTTCTATCTCTCCATCTAGTAACTTGATATACCTTTACATGTATTTCCATAGACAGTCACTGTTCTACCTCTCCATCTAGTAACCTGATATACCTGTACATGTATTTCCATACACAGTCACTGTTCTACCTCTCCATCTAGTAACTTGATATACCTGTACATGTATTTCCATAGACAGTCACTGTTCTACCTCTCCATCTAGTAACTTGATATACCTGTACATGTATTTCCATAGACAGTCACTGTTCTACCTCTCCATCTAGTAACTTGATATACCTGTACATGTATTTCCATAGACAGTCACTGTTCTACCTCTCCATCTAGTAACCTGATATACCTGTACATGTATTTCCATAGACAGTCACTGTTCTACCTCTCCATCTAGTAACTTGATATACCTGTACATGTATTTCCATAGACAGTCACTGTTCTACCTCTCCATCTAGTAACCTGATATACCTGTACATGTATTTCCATAGACAGTCACTGCTGTGCCTCTCCATCTAGTAACTTGATATACCTGTACATGTATTTCCATAGACAGTCACTGTTCTGCCTCTCCATCTAGTAACCTGATATACCTGTACATGTATTTCCATACACAGTCACTGTTCTGCCTCTCCATCTAGTAACTTGATATACCTGTACATGTATTTCCATAGACAGTCACTGTTCTGCCTCTCCATCTAGTAACCTGATATACCTGTACATGTATTTCCATAGACAGTCACTGTTCTACCTCTCCATCTAGTAACCTGATATACCTGTACATGTATTTCCATAGACAGTCACTGTTCTACCTCTCCATCTAGTAACCTGATATACCTGTACATGTATTTCCATAGACAGTCACTGTTCTACCTCTCCATCTAGTAACCTGATATACCTGTACATGTATTTCCATAGACAGTCACTGTTCTACCTCTCCATCTAGTAACCTGATATACCTGTACATGTATTTCCATAGACAGTCACTGCTGTGCCTCTCCATCTAGTAACTTGATATACCTGTACATGTATTTCCATAGACAGTCACTGTTCTGCCTCTCCATCTAGTAACCTGATATACCTGTACATGTATTTCCATACACAGTCACTGTTCTGCCTCTCCATCTAGTAACTTGATATACCTGTACATGTATTTCCATAGACAGTCACTGTTCTGCCTCTCCATCTAGTAACCTGATATACCTGTACATGTATTTCCATAGACAGTCACTGTTCTACCTCTCCATCTAGTAACCTGATATACCTGTACATGTATTTCCATAGACAGTCACTGTTCTGCCTCTCCATCTAGTAACTTGATATACCTGTACATGTATTTCCATACACAGTCACTGTTCTGCCTCTCCATCTAGTAACCTGATATACCTGTACATGTATTTCCATAGACAGTCACTGTTCTGCCTCTCCATCTAGTAACCTGATATACCTGTACATGTATTTCCATAGACAGTCACTGTTCTACCTCTCCATCTAGTAACCTGATATACCTGTACATGTATTTCCATACACAGTCACTGTTCTGCCTCTCCATCTAGTAACCTGATATTCCTGTACATGTATTTCCATACACAGTCACTGTTCTACCTCTCCATCTAGTAACTTGATATACCTGTACATGTATTTCCGTAGACAGTCACTGTTCTGCCTCTCCATCTAGTAACTTGATATACCTGTACATGTATTTCCGTAGACAATCACTGTTCTGCCTCTCCATCTAGTAACTTGATATACCTGTACATGTATTTCCATAGACAGTCACTGTTCTACCTCTCCATCTAGTAACCTGATATACCTGTACATGTATTTCCATACACAGTCACTGTTCTACCTCTCCATCTAGTAACCTGATATACCTGTACATGTATTTCCATAGACAGTCACTGTTCTACCTCTCCATCTAGTAACCTGATATACCTGTACATGTATTTCCATAGACAGTCACTGTTCTACCTCTCCATCTAGTAACCTGATATACCTGTACATGTATTTCCATAGACAGTCACTGTTCTACCTCTCCATCTAGTAACTTGATATACCTGTACATGTATTTCCATAGACAGTCACTGTTCTACCTCTCCATCTAGTAACCTGATATACCTGTACATGTATTTCCATACACAGTCACTGTTCTACCTCTCCATCTAGTAACTTGATATACCTGTACATGTATTTCCATACACAGTCAATAACAAACTAAATAAGTAATAATACAGATTTTTCCCAAAACATTGAATAAGTCTTAGAGCATATTTTTGTTCTGTCAAAAGACAATTTTAATCTTAAAATGACCATTAAAACTCCATTTGATGTTTGTATCTTACCAAGATGAATCTCTCTCTCTGTAGTTTTCACAATGATGTGATTTGAAATATGAGAGTTTTTAGCTTATTGTGAAAGTGTGCCTACCCCCACAGACATACCAGGGCTCTACATTTACATTTCTATCTTAGTTGTCCAGTTGGAAAATATACTTATTCAACATAATTTTTACTCATCTTAAATTTTTAATAATTTGAATAATGTTTGCCAGAGTAATTGAAGAAAATTTCAGAGATTTTGTAATAATGTCATAAATGTGTGCAAAAGTTGTATAGAAAATGGCACACAGTGTCAAATTTAAACACCAAAAATACTTATCATTTTTTTTTACATTCTAGGAATATATTATTTGTGTCATTTCTATTCAAAATCAGTTAATACACTATATATAACAACTCAAGCATCCATTTTTTGTGTTATTTATCCTTACAAGTAAAAGAAAATGGCAATTAGCGAATTACAACAAATATTTCTAAGTTTACCATTAATGTTTAATATTTGCTTTTTATTGCCTGTGTCTTCTTTTGTTTCATCTTTCTTACCTGATACTGAAAACCCAAACTCTGACTGATCAATCACTCAGTGTCTGACTTCATAGTGAACTTGGATCTTAAGCCGATCACTGTGATCAAAATTTGTCATAATGATCAGGATCAAAGTTAACTATTTTACACATCGCATGCAATTGATCTGAACTTTCAATACAAAGTTACAAGTTCAGTCTTTTGTTGACCATACTGAAAATAAGTTTCCAGCAATATGTTCTTAAATTCGTCTATAGCTCATGTACTTTCTTTTGCCCCATGAGGGCCCTTAATTGGTAAATAAACAAATTGAATTGCACCCTCGCGAATTTCCTCTATTTTCTCATATATATGCCGGGATATTTAATGCTACTATTTATTAATATTATTTTCAGCAGAATCTTTTATACTAGATTTACTTACAACTAATAATATCAAACCAGGAAATTAACTTGTTAGTGTCATTAATCCAGTCTATTCATAATCAATTTACTACCGCTTCGCGCTTCAATTTATTAATTATCGAAAAACGTACTATATAAATAAGCAATAATTCATTTAGTATCAATTGATACCTTTTGTGTCAATCTATATTTAATTCTTTATTACTGAATCTTCTTTAGTTTTACATTTGACGAATTAATGAACTGCATGTTTTAAGTTTTAATGTGAAAGACTGAAACTGGTCATAAACGCAAAGGACAACAAAATATTTTAACCAAGAAATGAATGGTATACTGATATTTAGAGGAATTCCAATTTACCATGGCCAAATATTTGTGCACAAGCTCCTTCATCCGAGAATGGGGCACTGTAAAAACGTCGACTTCTTCTGGACAGTTGGGCGCCATTTTTGTTTTGATCGGAAATGGTTTCCTCTCGTAAAATCCCGTGCGATCGTGACGACACGAGTTGCTATGGGAAATGTCAATACGCTCGTGCGGTGTCCCGTCAAGGTAATAGCGGACTATCGTAAGGCAGGTATTTATTGATACTACTCGATAATTTTCACTCAAAGATAATTGACTGACTGCTGAGAATGGCTCGGAATTATCCGGCAAACACGCAGATTCAGAAATTTTTAGAGGAATCATACAATAAAGAACGAGACACGCGCTTGCAGTGGTTTTACAAACTTAAAGATTCCAATGGACAACTTGCCACTTCCAAACAATCCGAAGTTGCGAGAAGGAAAATTCAAAATGCTCCAAAACCCGCAGAGGACATTTTCAAAAAGCTTCCAGAGGATTATACTCCTCCGAAATTCAACAAAGTGAAATCGGACTTTAATGCTTTCCCTGATATGTCTAAGGCGGAAGGAAAGCTCCAGCAGCTGGTTGCTGAGATGCGACCCCCCTCCGCTGGTACCCGGGAAAAGTTATACGACGGTTTTACGAAGGAGGGCAAGGGTAGATATCAATATCTGTGCGAGAGAAATAGGAAGGGACCGGAAGAGAAATTTGCTTTCCCTTTACTGAGTTCGTGGGAGTACGGATGGAGACTTGGAGATGTGATAAAGAAAGAGGAAATTAAAAAGCCTCCCTATGGTCGTACCAGAATTGTAGCGGACACTTTCTACACGCGCACTGGAATTCCAGATAACCCCTCGGTCAGTGTATAAAACTCAGGAACGTCATAATATAGTATTGTTTTTTTTAAACTGTCAACAAAAGTATTAATTTAATTATTACAATGACCACCTACTCTTCAGTATTGTAAAAAGGAAAAAATAGACCTCTTTCAACAGTATTGACTTTTTTCAGTGAGTTTTTAAAGTCATCTATTTGTGGTGACATTTAAATAATCTTTTTATAAGCCTTGTTGTGAAATACCTTATGCAAAATTGTGGAAGTATTAAATTAATGAACTGTTGTCTGCTAAACGTGATCGTTTGTTTAACACTTATAGAACGTTATTGTGTTTTTTCCCCTTCCAAACAGTACTTACTTGTTTTTTGCACCTGCATTTAGCTATTGCTCAAACTGTTAGCTCATAACTCTGTATGCATACTTTGTTACTCTTTTTATCCCATGTGTTTGTGAGTTTGATGAAAGTGTTTCGATTGTGATTATGGAGTACATGACTGGAAAAAGTGAACCAGCTTTTTTACTTTTCCGGGCCCTTTATCAGTGCCATCCGTCCAAATTGGCAAAAGTTTAATATAAATTATTTAAGTATAATTATATTGAATGTATTTTTAATATGAATGCTTGTATATATATAATGTATGGATGAGTTTCGGCTTCAAAATATTTTGTACCTCTTGAAAAGAATATTTGTAAATTAAAAAAAAAATGTGGAAGTTCATTTCTTTGTTGGTTGTATTCTGAGTTACAAATTCATAATGTCTTCTTCCGACGAACGCTTATGAAGAATTACGAACGCCTATACTTTACAGGTATATGTCGTCAGGTGATACTTGAATGCGTTGAAATCTAATTAACACAAATATATCCCAGCTAATGTCTGTATTCATTTCCACCTGACTTCTACTGCCTACCTGTGTATCACCGTTAACAAGGAGACAGGTGTTTTGTGGTCATTATGAAGGAAAATGATGTGGCTGATATCACGAAAGTTTTTGCCACGAGTGCTAAATACAAATACCGACTAAGATTTCTATAGAACTATTTTTTTTCTCGTTTTTATTTAATCCGGTTGTGCATTCGATAGCTAGGTCTTTTAAACGAATCCCCTGCCAAGATAACTAAATGTGTACAGAGGGATCGTACTTTAAATTGATCGGTACAGACATTGGTTTATTGTCGATGCACATTCTGTAAAACTCAATGCATGAATTCTGCGCCCTAAATACTACTGCACACAGACAAAAATAAACAAAAACGGACAATAGTGGTGATATATCGGCATTCAATAGCCTCCATCTTACGACAGGTACATTTTGCGGGCAGGTGGAACAATGAATAAATTATAACTGGTACATTAGGACTAATAAGAAACTTCATGAATAAATTATTAACCGTAGACTTTTAATTTGTTTGTGGGTTATTTTGGCAAGGTACATTTTATTGCAATCGATAATAAATAGAGATTTTCATTGATGCGAGAAATCAGACACTGCCTGAGCAACTCGTAAAGCTTTTCATTAAAATTGACCCAAGATTCATAATCACACAGAGATGTATATAACCACAGTGGAATATGATAGGCAGTCTCATTGATATGGTTTAATGATAAACTTCAGATATCATACCCATCTCATTTCTGTAGAAAACAACGATTTTCTAATTTTTCTATCACAAAAGAGCTTTGGGTCTATATGATTGTATTTATCCCCGATAGAACATTATGTGATAGTTTGATTTAAGTGGGATCAAATACTGTCCTTCAAAACCCTGATATCGTGTAGATTTCATTGATTTGGTTCGTCTTCAAAGAATCCATAACACGATGTATCAATTGATTTCGTTTTCTCTGTGTTCTCCGCATCATTTGCTTTTCCATGATTAACCTGAATTCTTACCAAGAAAGTAAGGTAGATATCGATAGGCAAAAAAGATCGAAATATTATTTTAGTTGAAAGTAATCAATATATAACCCTCTTTATTTTTGAAAGAAAGAGAGAATAAAAAAGCTCCCCTTTCAGAGTTGGAATGAAATGCTTTCATCGCTGAATTGCATTGTGTATAGACAGAAAAGCTTATATATAAGACCGCGCAAAAGTTCAATAAGTTAATTGTGATTTAAACAACTTTCTTTGCCGATGACATGTACATGCATATGAAGTCTTCTTTCTTTTCTTTCTCTCTTCTTTTTTTTTTGGGGGGGGGGGTAATTTTACAGCATTTATTGAAATCAAATATTACCGGGAAATAGTTACGATTTATTATGCATGCCGTCAATGATGAAATAAGTGAAAAAATCCGTAACATTGAACTTCATGGAGGGAGAAAGAGAGAGAGAGAGATTATTTAATTCATATGCATGTAATATATATCTCACTACATTAACGCTGTGAAATTTAAGATAAAATTTTTGAGAAAAAAATGATCTTCAGATGTACAAGTGACACTGCTATAGGCCTAACAGATAAGAAATCCCCACTAAGATCGATAAAGTAATAGAGTACTTCCCTTCCCACAGAGTTATTATAGTGGCTACAATGATAAATCCGGAATCTTTATCACCCCTATCTAATAAGTTGACAAGAAGCACGGGGAGATGGTGTATTTAACGCTTATACCGGATATGAAACGGGGGTAGGCACAGAGAAACACACCGACAAGGTGAACAATGTCGATGCAAGGGACTGTCCCCCAATTAAAGAATAAGATGCATTCCGGATGGAATTCTCCTAATTATAAAGTGACTCTATGTATTCCATTTTTTGATGGCGTGTGGAGTTGGCCAGTCTTCACTTACCCCCCTCACCAAATGTCTGCCACGTCACTGACATGGTTACCAAATCACTCATCATGCACTGTCTGTTTTGACAGTTTTGCTGTAATCGCATTCAGTTTATCAAAAACGAAATATTTATACCAGACATAGCTTTGTTGTCAGATTTCAATAATTCACAAGGACGGGTAATATTAAAATTAAAATTTTGACATCAGTACTGGCATCAGGCTTTGGGCGTTATTATTTTCCAGAATCAAACAATTAAAATTCAACTATATACAAAATAAATCTTTTATTTATAAAGGGACTTTCTATACACTGATGAAAAATGTTTTTGGACTATAAGAAAATTATATCTATATAGTATAAGCTATAGTTGAAAATATTAAATTCACCTACTTCATTTTCAATTTACGTAGGGTACCTTCAACAGGAAAAATGTTCAAAAACATTTAAACAGTCAAAGTATTGATATGCAGAAATAATTGTCGCTTATCTAAATAGGGAAAATACATGCAAGCAAAATATCCAATTGCTACATCTTGCTCTGATATGGAAAGAGTACTTGAATTGATTAAAAGTTGATTATTACAGCTGTAGAATTCAGCTTGACCAATATTAGATCAAAGGGCATATCACTCTAACTGCATAAAAGTACCATGAAAGTAGAACTCTTCAGTGTCCGGTGTGTAGGCGATCCTTAAGAATTCAAGTCTTCAAAATCTTTGGTAGAGATCTATAGATAATCTGTATCAAACAGGTAACCTGACAGATACAAAGAAGACATTCAAAAGCTTCTGTCAACTTGGCGTTGGTATCTATAGTCAGTAGAAAGGATATATTGACTATTGCATGAAAATACGTCATTCAGTTTATATATCTAAGCTATATGTAAATATTTACATCGAGTAAATTTCGATTTTGAATGTTTGTAATATATGTACGTAAATTACAATTCAGGAAATACTACTTAAAAAAATTCTCAGTAGAGATATATTTGACTTGAATAATTACCCCCACCCCCACCCCGGCCGGGTTTGGGTGCCTAATATAGTTATAGACCTGTTTCATTCAGACAACTAATGATCAACTCAAGTTTTCTACATTGAAAGATTCGATGTAAAATGTTCGCATTCTCAAGAATAGTTTACTAACAACAAAGTGAATTTGTCGTGTATTAATTGCGGACTAGAGAGCAGTGAATGCATATATAGCGGTGAACTATGATCTAAAATCCGATAGCTGAAAAACGTTCCATTTAAACTCTTAAACCTCGCCTCTGTCGATGAAATCTAAATTTTAACGGCAATGTTGACTTTAAACCACCATAAAAAGAAAAGTAAAACTAATAAAATTTGATTGATTTTTGTCGGATTTGCTGCGAGTCTCTGCCTATTTATATAAATCCTTGTTTGAAGTTCCTGTCTTCAGACTGTCAATATTTAAGCCAAACTTTTTCATCGATAGGAAAAAAACAAATAAACCTCGACGATAAAATTAAGTTTTTGGTGCGGGGTGGGTGGCTAGAATTATGTATACCTACACTTTACAGAATTCAAGTCATATTCATTTCGAAATTATGACTTCTTTCATAAAGAAACTTAACTATTTTTATAAACTTGAGCTACTTTTTTTTACTAAGCGTATAAGTATTTCTGTATCTATTTCCAAGGCTACAGATTTAAAGTAAAAACTGCCTGATGAACATACTGATCTATTTCTCTTCGAACAGCAAAATCTGTATGTTCAACAGATTTACAATCAGTTATGCTTGATTTATTCCTCAAAGAAAAGAAAGCCATGTCTTATAGTAACAAGGGTAGAATCCTCAACACGGAATGTAAAAGACGTAATCGTTGATGTTTGAACAAGCCTTGTCTATCTGAATGCACTACTTATTCATAATTGATTGTGTATTGGAATTTTAAACGTGTGCTAATGGGTCGTGTATGGACTCAAAAATTTAAAGGACGATGCAACGTTTTTTCGAAGAACTACAAAGGATAGCAGGGAACAGATTCAGGCAGGGAAAAGACGAGGGCTCTCAAAATATATTTGTTAAAGATTTTATAAGCAGAAGTAATTCTACATGTGTAATATCTTTTACATAATTTTGTGGTGATAAGGGTTTAAAATGGGACACCCTTGTCTATGTAACAGCAAACGGACAGATCAATATAAATCTAATACGTTAGTTTATTTTGCAGTGTGATTTGGTTTATCCTACATTTAATACCACTCATGAAAAATTAAAAGTGTCACACAAATGCGTTAGATTTGCTTTTCAACTGAGAAATCCACAATACTGAGAGAGAGAGAGAGAGAGAGAGAGAGAGAGAGAGAGAGAGATTAGCTAATTTGAAGACATTTGGCTGATGAAAATTTACCCCGAGTACAACACTCTGAGAAGAAATAGAAGATGTCGATGTTTTGCTCTTTCATTAACTCGATTGCACGTCTACTTCAGCAGAGATTTATAGCTAATTAATTTATCACCTATTACTTGATTAACTTTGATGGAGAAATTTGAATGGCATAAACTTAATTAAGAATCTCCAGGTAGAAGGGATAACGTGGTGTTGAGATAGTTAATCAAAGTAATAAACCACGGATATTAATGAAGAAGTGGCGACTGAAAGAAATGAACAGAGGGGATCACACGTGCTCCACGATTAGTCACGTGGTATCACCTTATGTATCTAAATTAAGAAAGTGTATTGTATGGCTTATTACCGATTTGTGAGAAATAAACTCAAGATAATTAAGGACCTTCTGTATACATTACACACTAAAGAGTTCTAATTTTTGTGGCATTTTATGCAGTTAGAGTTATCTGCCCTTAGATTTAAAATAAAATAAATTGTAATATACAGAATATTTTGCAATTTGTCAACAATTCAAACATTCTTAACAAGAATAAGCATTATAAGTAATCAAACACTTTA